GCAAACTACACTAAGAAAAGTGAATTAGCAAATTAGCAAACCTAAAGTGAATATGTTAAGCTGAAAAATAATATAATATTAAAGTCTCAACAATAATGTTGCTTGTATTGCACATATAAATGGGGGATTTATTAATGGTGATATAACAAAACATGCATCATCAAAATTCTTCTATACTTATAAATTTCAGTAAAGTCGTGAAATTGACGTAAAGCAAATCAATTAATAATCTTACAGATCTATTCACTAAAGTTTTACTATTATTAACATTCAAAAACTTTGTATATATTATTGTAATGTGTCGAATTTATGACTTGTTCAATTGATTTTTCTTAGAGTAATGCTACACTGACTAAAATTTAGGATCAAATTTGAAGTCCAAATGACATGACAATTGATTATTTAAAATTTTTATTAGGGTCCAAATGACATGACATCAATCAAAGAAACTCAAGTCAACTGTCATGTTATTTGAATTTTAAATTTGATCCCAAATTTTGGTCAATCTAACATTACTGTTTTTCTAAAAGGGGAGAATCTCATAAGGGGAAACATCCACTCCAAGATACATAATGTATTTTTTGTTTTTCCCTTCATTCAGGTTTTATCCCATTAAATTTTACTGACAATAAAACAACATTGGTAAATTTAACACCATCTTAATATAGTGATCACTCAAAGAGGAGTATTATAAACATTGAAAGGGTGGATGGCCACCTAACCTATAAAAGAGGTGAATAGCCACCCGAATTAAACCCCTTATCCCCATATATTTATCTATAAAAAGGCTTGTAAAGTGCACGAAAGAAATTCGAACAAAATGAGAAATTAAAAGAATAATGTCATCCTGAAAATTAACTAAACATTGATTGATACTTTAATGTTCTGTTTGGTAGGGAGGATGGAAAGTAGAAATGATGAAAAGTATGAGAGATACACTTTCTATCCTTTAAGGATGGAAAATAAGAAAGATACATTTTCCTTCATTTATGTTTGGTTGGATGGATAAAAAATAAAAATTGTTATTTTTTTTTTGTGCTGGCTAAGATTAGGAGTGACAATAGAATCGAGTCGCGTCGTGTCAGATTCGTTTTGAGTCATTACGAGTTTGTGTCAAATATTAGTCAAACCAAACTTGACTCATTTAACTAATTGTGTCATATCGAGTTGCGAGTTGTCATATTTATTTTCGTATCGAGTTCGAGTTGTGTCATCGTGTTGAGTCAAAAAATTTTACCCTTAGTAAAGATGGAAAAAATATTTTTTTTTAACTTAAAATTTTTATTTTTTTATTATTTTTTATTTTTAAAATTTTTTTATTTTCTTTATTTTTTATTTTTTAAAAAATATATATACATATTTTATCATTGTATTTTTATTTGAAATTAATGCATACATAAGATATATAGACAAATAAGATATATCTTAACACAAATAATTAATTTTTCATCCACTTTCCTTTCGATTTTAGAATGATAGATTTTGGTGAGTTGGAAGAAAAATTAATTCATCCTTCCTATTTTTCTTCCTTATCAAATATGATGTTTTATTTATCCTTTAAGTTTTCATCCTCCCACTTTTTCATCGTACCAAACCGGGTATAAGTTCTTAAAAGAATTGTTTTTTATATAATTTTATGCATTATTCCCTTAATATTTCGTTAATTTTAAAATATTTTTCAAAAGAGTGACGTGTCCGCGAATAAATTGGGAGACAATGGACACTTTGTGGGCTGCTTCTCGGAGTAGACATGAAAAATCGGTCCAGTCAAAGGAAAGACCAGATAAGGCCAAGGAGTACAGTCAAAGCAAAACTGTCATGGTCAAAGTGCTCAGCTGGCACTTTATTATTAAATAATTACTTCAAAAAGCACACCCAGTGATGGCCCACCGCACACTCCCATATAATTTCTCGAATTTCCAATTTTTGCAGAATAAAAAATATATATTTATTTTGGCTATTTCGAGATGTACCCGGTTGCTGGTCTTCCGTCGTGCGGGCCGGATTGGGTGGAGACCCTTACCTCTTAATTTTTTTTTAATCTCGTCAAAAGACGAGTTTCTCCTTTCATTTTCCACTAATTAATGAATAACATTTTTATTATTGCTCAAAAAATGAATATCAGTATCCAACCTGGAAGAATAATAAAGATTTACCAAAATAAAAAGAATAGAGTGAGTTTCTAATTAGTCTTTTCGTGCATAATTTTTTATAAATCAATAAAGAACTAAGTGTCCCACACGATTGAGCAAATAACCTACGAAATGATAGTTAGTTTCTTTTATATTAAACAATTATACTTTTATTATGAAGTTTATATTTAATAATAAAAGTAGAAGATGATACATTTTAAGATTTATTTATTTTTTTAAATACATAAGTAATGTACTATTCCCAAAAATATATTATTATTTGGCCAATTTGTATAAATTTAAGGATGCATACATGTTTCACTTGTAATATTTATTTTTTCCCTTATGATTTTAATTTTGTATGGACTCTATTCCTATATTGCAGTTATCATCAAAATAATTGCCCATAATATTAATTTACGAATAATGATATCATATTTGAAGACACTCTTTAATATCAAAGATTAAATATGAGTAATACTAGATGGACTTAAAAATTAGATTTGAGCAATACTATTTTTTAAGCAATGTAGCATTGCTCATTAAATATTGACCATTCAATATTTCTATTTTAAGTAATAATTTATTTTTTTTCTTTTTTCAATTTGTAATTTAAAATTAAAATAAACAGAAAAAATTAGAGATGAGTAGAGGAAAGAGAAGATAAAGATAAGTGTGAATTAATGAGATTATTAATGAGGAGTATGTTAGTTGAGTTATTTGCATTGGGGACTGTGCATATAAGTTGATGTTTTTTAGAAGAAAAACAATTGCGATGAATTTTATATAATTTGATCAAATTAAATAAAAATTAAATCAATCTTAACAATTATTGTAATTTTATAGGCAGAGAATTTGACTTTCTAATTTTAATATTAGTTGGATATGGACCATATACAAAGCTTATAAGGATTATTAAAAAGAAGAATAAAAAAAGGAAAAAAAAAAGGATTGTATCAAGGGCTCAAGTGTCATTTAAGTTATCCACTAAACTTATGCTCCGTTTGGTACGATGGAAAAGTGAGAGGATGAAAAGTTGGAAGAATATAAAGTTAGAGAGATAAATAAAACATCATGTTTGGTAAAGAAGGAAAGTAGGAATGATGAAAAAGTAGATGAATTAACTTTCCTTCCAACACACCAAAATCAATCCCTCCAAATCGGAAGGAAAGTTGATAGAAAGTTAATTATTTGTGTTAAGATATATCTTATTTGTCTATATATTTTATGTATACATTAATTTCATATAAAAATACAATGGTAAAATATGTATATATATTTTTAAAAAAATTAAAAATTTTAAATTTTAAATTAAAAAATATATATTTTTTCCATTTTAAATAAGGATGAAAATTTTTGACTCAACACGATGACATGACTCAAACTCGATACGAAAACAAATAGGTAAATTCCCAACTCGATACGACACAATTAATTAAATGAGTTAAGTTAAATTTTATTAATATTTGCCACAAACTTATAATGACTCAACACGAATCTGACACGACACAACTTGACTCGATTGTCACCCCTAATTTTAGCCAGCACAAAAAAAAATAATTATTTTTATTTTTCATCCACCTAACCAAACACAAATGAAGAAAAATCTATACTTCTTACTTTTCATCTTTAAAAAATAGAAAGTGTCACTCTTATTTTTTTATTTTTCTTATTTTTTCATTCATCCTACCAACAGAACATTAAAGACTGTTAAAATGCGAAAGTGAACCGATAGATTACTGCAGCAGGTGATATGACTGCACGTGTGGTGCGCGAGCCGAGGGGCTTAATTACCGGCTGTTCCGGTAACCCGATATCTTTCCAGAAAAATCTAATTCACAATGAAACAAAAGAAAAAGGGTGAATTGTACTTCATACCCTGAAAAATTTTAAAAATTCTTATTTTATACTTTTCAAAATCATACCCTGAAAGTTTGTGTTATATTATACCCTTAACGTGCTAAAAATGTTACAATGTGGACTTTTCACTAATTTTTTTTGTTCATTCTTTCAACATCAATAGAGTGGTTTTTGATGGAAGATAATGGTAGGATTATATTGTAATAATTTTATTACATTGAAAGTATAATATAAAAAATTTAATTTTTAAGAGTATAAAATAGAAATATCTAAATTGTTTAGGGTTCAAAGTGTGATTCTCCCCACAAAAAAAAAAAAGAAGAAGAAATGTTTTTTCTTTTTAGTTTCAGTGGAGGGTCCTTCGGCAACAACCACAGAGGAGGAGCCTTTGCAGGGGTTAGTCTTTTCCCTCTCCTCCCTTACCCTTCCTCTCTCTTGCTGGTATGGGCTTTGTTCTATTTGATTCTTCATATATTTAGCATTTTACGATCTGGCGTCTATTTTCCTTCTCAATTTCTGTTGCATTTGTCATTTTTTTTATTCATTCGGAGTTTGCATTTTAGATCTTTCCTTAGGCTATTTTTTTTTGGTTTTATTCTTGGCTTTTCTATATTTCTTCCCATTATTCAACCCTTTTGAAGAATGAATAGGAAGTGAACTTTCATTATAGAAAAGAGCACTGATGATAGGGAATATGATATGTATTATGATGGTGATGGGAGTCATTTGACCGGAGAAAGAGAAAATCAGATAAAGTGAGAGAGAGAGAGAGAGAGAGAGAGAGAATAAAAGGTGTGCCCTTTGAAAGAGAGTATCGTTCCTTTTGATTGTCAATGAAAGAGAGATACTTTGAGGGAGTTTTCATTCTTTCTTTATCCTTTTGCACACATCGCATGTGTGTTAGGATGTAATGTGCTTTCTCGAAGGGTTCTGGGTGTGGAGATTTTGAAGGGTTTTCTTACAAGGGTCTGTAATATTGGCTGCTTTTTGACAGAGGTAGTTGCCAAAATGCCTGTGTTTCAGCCTTCAAAGAGGGCTGGAGTTGTGGGGTTTGAAGGTGGTGGTGATGGGCAGGTTCTAGATCTGGAGACTGCCGTTAAAGATGGGGTTTTGGGTGGTGTTGGAGGAGGTTGTTTCGGTGTTGGGGTTGGAGAGAAATTGGATCTGAAGAAGATGATTGAAGAGGTCAATTTGCCAGAAGTTCCATCTGTGTTTATTTGCCCAATTTCCCTTGAACCTATGCAAGACCCAGTGACCCTTTGCACTGGACAGACCTATGAGAGGTCCAACATTCTCAAATGGTTCAGCTTGGGCCACTACACTTGCCCCACTACTATGCAAGAGCTTTGGGATGATTCGGTTACTCCAAATAAGACCCTGCACCATTTAATTCATACTTGGTTTTCACAGAAGTTCTCGCAGATGAAGAAGAGATCAGAAGATGTGCAGGGGATAGCTTCGGAGCTGCTTGATACGCTGAAGAAGGTAAAGGGTCAGGCTAGAGTTCAAGCCCTGAAGGAGCTCCAGCAAGTTGTGGCAGCTCATGCCACTGCTAGAAAAACTCTGGTTGATGAAGGTGGGGTAGCTCAACTTACATCTCTACTGGGTCCACTTACTTCTCATGCTGTTGGTTCTCAAGTTATTGCAATTCTTGTGAATTTGTCACTTGATTCAGAATCAAAATCAAGTTTAATGCAACCTGCAAAGATTTCGATACTGGTGGACATGCTGAATGAAGGATCAATGGATACCAAAATCAATTGTATACGGTTGATTGAAACCCTGATGGAGGAGAAGGATTTCCGATCAGAGATTGTCACGAGCCATAGTCTATTGGTTGCTTTGATGAGGGTGGTGAGGGATAAGAAGCACCCAAATGGTAACTTGCCCGGGCTTATTTTGCTCAGAACAATATGTTTGCATAATAAACATGTCAGGAACTTGATTGTGAGTATTGGAGCTGGGCCTCAATTGGTTGAATTATTGCCTTGTTTGAATCCTGATTGCTTGGAACTGGCCCTATTTATTTTGGATTCCCTGTCCTCTATACCTGAAGGTAGATTAGCTTTGAAGGACTGTTCATATACTATACCTAATATGGTGAGACTACTAATGAGAGTTTCAGAAAGTTGTACACAATTTGCATTGTCAATCTTGTGGTCTGTATGCAAACTTGCCCCAGAGGAATGCTCATCAATTGCTGTGGAGGCAGGTCTTGCAGCAAAGCTCCTTCTCGTTATACAGAGTGGTTGCAATCCCGTATTGAAGCAGCGGGCTGCTGAGCTCTTGAAGCTGTGTAGTCAACATTATTCGGACACCAACTTCATTTCCAAGTGCAAGCTTACGAGAACAATCCACTGAAAGGAAGTTATATGTGGTCGTTTACACCATGTGGTTTCCCCCTTTGTGATTGAACCAAAGGGTTTGAAGGGGGCTACAAAGTTGAAGCTTTGATCTCAAACCAGTTTAATGAAGCAACGTACAGAATGGGGGTTGTGAGGTACAAATCTGATCTCCTGTATATACTCAAGACTTCAATTCCAGCTATTGATTACACATACAATGAAAAAGGAGCCCGATACTTCAACTAGAGGAGCGACCAGTTGGTTCATCAAACCCCAACCCACGAACTAGCTGACCGATCCGTGACAGTTCCAAGAGGAGTAGTTGAGGATGTTAAAGAGTTATAATGTGGACATAAGCATGCCTCAGTTCGTGCAGTGTTCATTTTCCATCCGCTGGTGGCTCTTGCCAGATTTTTTCAATAAACATCCGCAAGATGAAAATGTTGTAAATCCTTAGTCAGCTCTAGGATTTTATTTTTTCTAGGGCTAATGAATGGTTAGATTGTTGTGACCAGATTATTCTTGTTATAGCAAACTAGGCTTGTTTTTGGAGGGGTTCAATTGTAGTTATTAAGGGGTTACTTTGCAGAGGCCTCCTATTTTCTTTTTGCTTTGTTGAAGTTTTGCTTTGGCCTTATGAAGCATAGATACGAGAGAAGCTTTGGTATTTTGACATCCATAGAATATGTACAATGAAATTAGCCCATATTTTCTTCAGTATAATGTCATTTTTCAGCCCATTTGGGAATTTGATTTTGATGGTTGTTGTAATGGTTTGGTTTTTTGCTGTGTGTGTGTGTGTGAGAGAGAGAGTGAGAGTGAGAGTGAGAGTGAGAGAGAGAGAGAGACCTTGCTGCAGTATGCATTGTTGCAGTTAGGAATTAGCCATAACGTGAACATGGTGTACTTTTTCTATCCTTTTGTGGTAAGTTTTTTAGGACAGCTCTTATTGTTACCTCACTCTCAACCACTGCTCATGACATGGAAAGAAAGAAAAATTTGAGTGCTTTTACTGAATAGGAGCACTGAATTGCTAGTGTTGATTCATCCAGATTGGCCATTTTCTTTTGTTGTCTTTTGGAAGTCTCTTGAACTCTTTCGAGTTTCAACTTTGTGGGGTTTCATGGTCTCCCCACAGTGAAGACGTACACTTTTAGCTGCACAAACCACAAATATTCTCTTGGCTTGCACTGTTTCACCTTTACTCTCTCCATATCCTTCTCTTATTTCATATTCTTCAGTAATGAAAAGTAAGTAAAGATGCATTCCCTGTCTGCAAAAGAGCCTTACCCAAAAAAAGTCCTTGGCATTAGCATCTTTGAATCACACCATGAGCAATACAAAAGCTAATTCTTGAAGAATAAGACATTTGAAATACTCTATTTCTATGGTTGCAGATGTGACGAGTGATAGCCTAATTCTCCCATGTGTAATTCATTCTCTAGTTACTTGAAGAGACCGTGTCTAATTAATATGTCGTGGGTTTGAATTTGAAAATCACTCTTCTAAAATAGGATAAAGTTATCTAGTACTTATTATCTCTTTAAAAATTTGTTAAAAGCAAAAGCCGTATGAACTATGTTTGATCTTCTTCATTGTTACGATTAGTATGGTGAAGAATAAAGCGAGATATCTATTTTGAATATAGTAGGATTGAAAGGGGGCGTTCATATTTCTTTCCCATTGTTCTCGAGCCGATAACGTGATTAGAAAAACCATGTTTATTCCATGGAATTTGTGACATCTTTGTATGACGATTGAATTATTCCTTTTGTCTAAAAAGAACATGAAGTCGAATTTTTGGCTATAAATAGTCCAGGTGGCACACATAGAAGAACATTCGAACTCTTGAACTTCATCCGGAAAGTAGTTCTTTTGCTTCATCACCCATGCGTCATTAGCACAAAAACTCCTGCCCCCACCCCCTTACTAGAACACTCAAATTTCTTTAGTTTTACATGGGAGGGAGAGGGGAATCAAACTTTCAACTGGTCACTTCATTGTGGCAACAACAACTTTGAAATTATAGTAATTAGAATTCATTAAATCTTTGATGATCTATGATTTGAGTATATCAATCCTAAACAAGGTGAGTTCATGATCCAAATTATTAAAATACATGATCCTAAATTGTAATATTAATCTTAAATTAATTAACTTTGAAACATGTATCATAAATATAAAATACAAAAAAATTGATTACGTTTACATAAATTTATAATTATATATTACTTTAAATAATAAAAAATCATGCACAAATTTAAGATAAATAGTAATTGACTTTAGTGCTTATGGATGTTCTATGATATATAATGTTGCACGATAGTAAAAATAATGTAGAAAAGAGGTCTAAACTGAATTACGACCCAAAATGCTATTGTAAGATTTAGTTTTGGATTAAAATTATCCCCACCCCTTCGGTGCCAAGTGGCAATCCTTACCAATTCACTTCGTGAACCAAACAGACCCTAAAACTAGGTTACTATGCAGATTGAAATGGACATTAACATAAACTGATGAAGGAGTTCAATGGATTTAATACAATGAGTTATTTCCATTATAACCGAATATCAAGTGAGTTATTGAATTTACACCAAACCTATTGGTAGACTTCTCTCGTGGATTCGGGCTGTTGTGGTTATGTTTAGGTTGGAGTTCCCCTTGGTTGTGTGCTTTTGATCTCAAGTTTGTCTATATTTGAGATCAAATTCTATTTGACATGTTACCCTCCTATCATTTAGTTTTCTTTTCTTTTATACCAAATTTTTGGCCACTGTAGCTAGTGCCCGTCACTTTTGTCTATATATATGATACTGATTTTTGTTTTTTTTTTTTTTTTGGTACCGTGCTTCGATTTCAACATAATATTTTTCTTTTGACCTAGCTAGATTGCCCTTTTATTGGCATCTCCAAGAGGAGAGCAACTCATACCTGCCTCTAATCAATTCTCAAGAATTTTTACCCAAGTTTGTAGATATTTTAATAATTTTTGTGGGTATTTTTATAACAAAAAGTTTATCAGTGATTTACCATTTTTTTTGGGTGGTTTTACCATTTTTGTGGATAATTTTATCATTATTGTGAGAACTATTTTTATCACTTTTCTTTTCTATAAAAAAAATTATAACTTTTGTGTATGATTTATCATGTTTGTAGATATTTTTTATCACTTTTTTTTTATATATTTTTATCACTTTTCTTTCCTATCACAAAAGTTGTAAAAACATTTAATAAAATAAAAAAAAAATACTCACAAAAGTAATAAATATTAGAATGATGCCATTTTTTTTGTACAGTAGACAACTCTAAAAGATAATATTATATAGAGTTGACTACGGTAACGAAAAAAAAATTGGTATCATATTTCTATTTAGCACATTTATGAGTCTTTTTATCACTGTTGCAGTACCTTAAAAAATGATACAATTAGTTACTACAATAGTGGTAAAAAAATATTCATAAATGTGATAAAATCACTAATAAACTTGATAAATTTTTTTGTATCAAATAAATGTGATAAAAATAATTACGATAAAAATATTCACTGTGATAAAAATAAATAAAATGACATATAGTGATATTTTTTAATTAGTCAAAAAGGAATCAAATTATATGACACTCATATGATTGTACTTTCGGTTTCACATTCGGCCATATCTAAGATCAAATTATATCGGAGAAACTTTATCCACATTTCTTGTAATTATTCATAAATTCAATGATACCTTTTATATTTTTTAAAATTTTACTAACATCTCTCGTCTAAAGTTGTCTACTAACTGTGTTAATGGAGGAGGTCATTTTACGTAAACACTCTTACACATGAGCGGAGCCAGCTTAGACCCCATGAATTTTTTTTTAATAAAAATTACGTACAAAAAAATTCACACATTTTTTATTATATTTGAATTTGTCCACCCTATATTATTTTTTTGTCATAGTATATATATTTAAATGATTAAAGCTTTTGGACATGCCTCAAACATGTAAAGGATATATTGAGGTTATTTTATAATTTTCAACAAATAATATAAAGTTATTTTAATATTTAATAAAAGTTAGGATCATTATGAAATAAATTATAGGTTTATTTTATAAATCTACTAATTATTTTCTGTGCCTAAAGGTACAGAGTAATAAAAAAGATAAATAATAAATATATTTGTATTCATCTCAAATCAAATTACAAACATAGAAAAAAGATAAAAAAAATTTAAACATCGGTCTGTAGTGGAGCGGTAGTGGTGATGGTAGGAGACAGTGATACTTGTGGTGAGTGACAATGACAGTGGTAGCGGTGGTGACGACGACGGTGGCGGTGGTGGAGGTAGCGATGGTGGTGACGATGGCGGTGGTGACGGCGATAGTGGTGGTGATGGTAGTGGTGGCAGTTGTGGTGGGGGTGGCGACGGTAGTAGTGGTGGTGGTGGTTGTGGCGGTGACGATAGTGGTGGCAACGGCAGGGGTGTGTGGGGGTGGAAGTGATAAAAGTAGTGGTTGGACAATTTCAAATATTTTTTTTTTTTTAAATATTTATGAAAAATAATTTTTAGAAGTATTTTTAAAAAATTAATCCAAACATACCCTTAGGGCCCTATTTTTCCTATTAAATTTAGAGTGTTAACATTAACCGTTAGTTTAACTTTAAAATAAGATTTACAGCGATTTCAACCACGAATAAAAAGAGTCATTTTGTTTATCTTTTAAAATTTGAATTGTAAACTACTTTATTATATAGATAATAGAATTAAGAGTCACGACTAAAAATTATAAAATTATTTAGATTTAAAAAAATTAAATATAATTATATTTAGTTGATAAGATTATTCTAATTAGACCAAAATGAGAGATGAAGAGAAAATGGAGAAAAACTGAGTAGTGAGGGTGTGATTCCGATTATTTTGTGACCCTCTAACAACTACTCTATTCTCCGGAGAAGTACGATTGACTTTTATTTGAAGCCCAGATAATTGACAACAATACTACAATACTATGTTCCTCTCCGAACACTTTTTA